TAGCTCAAGACTGCGAGCATAAATGGACACAGTAGGACCCTGGACATAATAGGGAGGGACTGGAAATGAGGCTTGCCAAACTGGGATGAGGTGGGGTGTGGGGAAGAGGGGGGAAGAGAGGATGGCTCCTATTGCAGTTCAGAGAAGAAGTCAGATGGGCAAGCAAGGTTCGCTAGCCTGGGGGACAACAGCGTGGATTTATAGTCCATGCAAGTTGTCGGAATTGGAGCCCCAAGACTGACAATAATAGGTTGGGAGTGAGGGAAGCACTGATGACTGGTAATCAGAAATCCAGGCAGCCCCAGGTGGTAATGGGGATGTCTGTTAGCCTGGTGGTGCACCCCAGTCCCTGGGAGGGTCTGGGTGAGACTCCAGAGGGAGACACTGAGGAAAGGGATGGATGGGCGTGGGGGTGGAGAGAATATTCTGGGAGAGAAAAGCCCCAGGTCTTATCCTGAAGGAACTAATGTATCAGGCAGCTTCCTAGGACAGATCCTCGGGGAATGAGGCAAAAGACAACGTGGAAATAAGACCCTAGGTTGGCTGTTGGAGTTGGTCCGGGACCTCGTGCAATTTGTTGCTGACATCAAGAGGTGGGGACAGGGATCCTCAAATCCTTCTGGGTTAGGATTGACCCTGGAGGCTGGGGTGAGGCTGCACTTAGATGGAAGTCAAATGACGTCAAGTGAAGGGGGGAGAGGGCTGAGGGGCTAAGAACTAACAAAGACTGCATTCTCTGTTTATGACCCTGAAAGAAATACATAGAAGAGAAAGCATTCTAACTGTTTTGACTATGGGAAGAATGATGATGAGTTAATAATTAACAGGTTAAATCCAAACAAATTGGATCATTTGGGATTTCCCAAACTGTTTTGGATTTCTCATTGCTTTCCCTTTGATTTTTCAGCATTCTTCCTCCTTCTCAAATTAGGCACAGAGCAATAGGAAAATAATTTTATGTTTAGGATTTTCCTAGAGTGAAGCGCATTAATTTGGGGTAACACCAAACCAATATAGACATAACCCTGGCAGAGGCTTTACTGGCTAATTGGTTTCTGCTATTCTAATACTGGCTCCAGATTTTGCACCATAACCCTCAAGTCCCAACAAGCCTTCCTTCGTTAATCTATGTGCTAATGGAATCTGCTTTACCCATGATTTCATAAGTAAGGAGGAGAGAGAAGACAGTGCTTTTTAGTTTGGAATGAAAATGAATTCATTTTCTCCAAGCAGCTAACCTGCCTACAGTTCAGCTTACTCATGTGGAAAATATTCAAGAAAGCCATAATTATCCAGGAGGAAGGTATTTTTAGTGTGAAACCTAATGCTTTTGTCTTTTAATGCCTAATTTATAGGGAGCAGGCAGCGAGAACATGGCTCCATACATGGGGGATGGTAAAGATCTTGGGAGAAGAAACACATACTTTATAATTTTTCCTTTTGTCATGTGATTCACCCACCAGGTCTGATAGGGTTTTTCATTGCTTTTGGCATCGCCATGGGGAAGATGGGTGAGCAGGCCAAGCTGATGGTGGAATTCTTCAACATCTTGAACGAGATTGTAATGAAGTTGGTGATCATGATCATGTGGTAAGTGGGCTTGCTCTTACTTCATCGTGGCAGGGGTGTGAGATGGCCTTGGGGTCCCCCAAGGACACTGGAGCCCCCCCAGCAGGAAAGAGCAGATGCACATGAGCCAAGCAAAGGGCCCTTCTAAAAGACTTTGAGAAAGGGATGAAAATCTCTTTTTTTGGAGCTTTCTCTAAAAAGGGGGTTGGAAAACTATAGCGCACGGGCCAGATCTTATCTGCCATTTGCTTTGTGTGGCCTGTGAATTAAGAATGGGTTTTATGTTTTTATTTTGCTGAAAAAAAACAAAAGAGTAGTAATAGTCTGCCACACGTGAAAACTATGTCTAATTCACAGTCAGTGCCCATAAATAGTTTTGTTGGAACCCAGCCATACCTAGTTCTTCGTGTGTTGTCTTAGGGCTGCTTTTGTGCTAAAAGACAGAGTTGAGTAGTTCTGACCAAGACTGTGTAGCTTGCAAAGCCTAAAATATTTACTGTTTGGTCCTTTACATAGAAAGTTTGCCCTTCCCTACCCTGAGAGAAAAGACCAAAAAAAAAAAAAAAAAAAACGAAGAAGAAGAAAGAAAAAGACAGACAAGCTGGAAAAAACCAATCAGTAATATTGAAGCTGAGCTGTATCAGGAAACACTAAGATAGAGCCAAGATGCCTGGGATATGGCATGACCCAGGGCCTGCTGAGATCCAAAAGCAATGTATCTTCAATCTGGGTTACTCATGACTTACACAGAAAAAAAAAAACAAAAGAAAAAAAAGGCAGCTCTCAGGCCATGTAAGAAAAGTGAGGATTAGAGCTGTAAGTGCTCTTGGAAATCTGGTTCCAGAGAAAACTGTGGTCCAGAGACACTTAAATCTTCATTCTTTAACATCATCATGCTCATCGTCATAAAAGCCATCTTTTATTGATTTCCTTTCATCTGCCAAGAGCCACGATGGTGCTTCATACCTATCAAATCTAGTCCCAGCAACCCTGAAAACGTGGTGTTATGATTCCCATTTTACAGAAAAGGCAGCTGAGGCTCATTGGGGTGAATTAACTTGCCTAAGATTGTATAGCTAGGGTGAGAAAGAGCTAGAGTTTATGTTGATATCAAAATCTTTGAATCTTCGGTCTGTAAATAGGTGGGGGTTTTTTTGTTTGAAATCATCTAAGCAATATTGTCTCCACATCATTTCATGTGTGTTTCTGGTCAGTGGTTCTAAAATCTAAGGGAGCCCAGGAAAGCGTGTGTCCTCTCTTTCACCAAGGAAACTGACATCTTCAGTCACTGGAAACTTCTCCTGTCCCTTATCTATCAGACAAACATTTTTATGTGCATTAGTTTCAGACCCCTACAATGGTCTGTATGCCTGCCTAGAAAGAAGGTAAAACCACTCTTAGACTAAACCGTGTGTGTGTTCTATTTGCCACAGGAATCCTGGGTTACAAAGTCCCTGACTCTGCCTGCTCCCGTCCTCCCCACCTGCTAGCTGAGGGCCCCAGGGTCTCAGATCAAGAAGATGTTTGTCATAATTTCATGAACCATATTTAATAGATCTGGCTTGTTCTGATCACAGCTTTCCTGTACTTTGGGAACACGGAAAAGGTGATAGTACAGCGGTGTGTTCTTTTAGATTATTTTACTGATTCTTCAGCTTCCCAAGCAATGCTAGATTTCTGAATTTTTCTTTTGTGTGAAGATTTAAAGTCACACACATGGGGTGGGGGTATAGCTCAGTGGTAGAGCACATGCTTAGCATACACGAGGTCCCAGGTTCAATCCCCAGTACCTCATTAAAAAAAAAAGCCTCTATAAAGTCACATGCTGTAAAGATATTTTAAAAGTTTAAAATCTGTTCTGGGTTTGCTGAGAGTTTAATAAATGATAATACATAAAGCAGAATAGGCCTCTTGCTATTAAACATTAGGATCTTTCTGCCTTTCCTAGAATTTCTTGCAGGATGAGCACCCTAGCTCCAGATATGCAATTCATATTTCTGTGTTATGATGCCAGTGATGTGGGAGATGTACGGAAATGTCTTCCTTCATCTGTAGCAGTGTCATTTCTCTGAGCTCTTGAAACTGAGGGAATCTTCTAGGAAATCAGATGAGTCATGGGATAAAGTAGAACCTCCCTTCTCCCCAGGCATGGAGTGGGTGTGGATCAAGAAGTTTCCTATTCACTGAAACCAAAACTCCTCTAAGGATTTAGCATCACATCCCAGGAGATGCAGAGTAATTGTGAGTCAGAAATAAGACCTGTGGAATGGTTTCTGACAGCTGTTCAGTTACCTCATCTAGGCGAACAGTTCGGAAAGGGTGTTATATGACATGAGATGCCAAACCCACACATTTCTTCCATTCTTCAGCTGCCTCGTCAGCCATTGATAACGATATGAGTGAGAAGGTTCTGGATAAAACAGCCAACCGCTCCTTAACGGTTAAGCATTGACACCCTCAATGCTTAAATAATCAGAATTATTTCATCTTCTTCTCTGTGTGGTAGTAAGAATAATAATAAAAGCCAAATAGATCATTAAGAAGATTACTGTTATCTTAATTATTATTAAATTATAATTATTAAATTCTTGCTATATGCTCAATACTTTTTCAATTACTGCACTGTACTGATTTATTATTGAGAAGACAGTAATTATCATAATCATTGTTAAATCATAACTGAGATTTACCAAATTCCTGCTATACACTTAATACTATTCTAGTACTTTACATGTATTAACTCATTTATTTTTCACAATGATACCTAGCAAGAACGGATACTTTTGTGAGCCCCAGTTTTCAGATGAGAAACCTAAGCACAGAGGTTAACTTGCCCCATGTTGTACGGCCTCAGTAATGGGAGTTCTAGAGATGTGCTACCTAACTTGACTTTTGTCTGACTTTGGACTGGATTGAACCCAGGGTCGTCCTATTACTAGCCGTGTGACTTTAAGTAAGTTAGACACACTCTAAACCCTTCATCCTGATCTGTGAAATGGATTGATCGTAACAGCCATGTCATAGGGTTGCTGTGAGAATTAAGTGGAATTGTGACCAACAGTTACGGCGCATTTGCTGTGTGCTGGGACCTGTTTAAACACTTCGTATGAACTAGTGTTATTATTGTGGTTTTATTGTAGTTGCCATTATTATCATCAGTTCAGTCTGTAGCTTCTCTGTGTTCATGAATTCCTTAAGAAGCCTACAAAGCCCTCTGATTCATCGAAAAATGAAAGAAAGAACTAAAGAAAGAACAAAAGAAAGAAAGAAAGAAAGACCCTTAATTTTGGTGTAATTTTCATATCCTCATTTTTGGCAGAGTGCTTTAAAACATTTTTTTTCCAAAATCTGACAAACTTAAATAGAAAGTAAAACTTCTCATATTCTTACCACGATAGAAGCATAAAGGGGGAAGTGAAATCTGTGCTCACTCACTTCTCCCTCTCAGTTAACCCACCAGCACCACCGCCATTCATCAGCCTGTCTCCCCATCCCCCCATCCATCCACCCATCCCTTCACTTCACAAATACTTCTTGAGCATCTCTTCTGTGCCAACAACACTTTTGAGCACTGATCATATAATGGAGCTGGAGGCTCTACGAATCGATTTACATTCTGTCCTGATGAAACGTTCTCATCCTCCTGTGGTAACTCTCAGCACGAGTCACTACTCCTTGGGTAGCCGAAACACCTCTCCCTGAGTGGATTGGGAAAATGGAGATTTGTGTTCCTTCCTGACCCTAAGTACAAACAGCACCTTCAGGTAACTCTTGGAATGCATGTTTAAGTCTTTATTGACTGACTCTTCCAGCTCTGAGTTCTCTTCAAATCTGTCCCAAACTGGCAGGTTGGTGTTGCTATTGGCAACGTGTGGGACAGACCCAGAGTGGCCTTTAGGGCAAGGCTGAGAAAGTCCCTCCACTTACCTCCACTCCAAGTATCTGGCCCACCATCTGTCCTGTGCCTGGAAGTTCCAAATTAATCACTTTACTGGGTTAAGACCAATGGCCTTGAATAATCTGGAGCTGAATAAAGAAAATGGTTTCCAAAGTCTAACCAAGTAATATCTGTATTTCATCACTGGCAGATCAGATTTTGTTCCTGGAAACAATGATTTCCAAACACATCAGAATTATCTGGGGAACTTACTTGAAATACAAATGCCTCACGGCCAACTCCAGGAAATTCTAACTCAGTAGGTACGCAGTGGGTTCAGGGAATCCATATTGTTTCAGGCAGGCCAGGCGACTCTGAGTATGGATGCACAGACTGAGTTCCAGATACGTTTGTTAGTGCTGTGGATGAGTGTGCGTTTGTGGAGTAGAGAGCGAACCTGAGAGGGGCATCCTGGTGGGAACCTAAAGATGTCAAGGTGCAAAGTGGGTGGAGGCAAGGACGGCTGATGCAACAGTTAGAAAAAGACTCATCCAGGAACTCATCCAGGCCAGTCCTGGATGAGTCAGTGGCTTTGAAAACGATGCCCAGAGCTGAGGATACAGCCAGTCTCAGAGCAGCGTGGGAGCCATTCCCTCGCCCTAGCTCTGTAGTCATGGCCTTTGAATTTAGAAACTGATCCAGTAATTACGGGGCATCATTTGGTTTCAGAACACTCACGGGAGCCCTCAGCCTCTTGATGCACTTTGGTTTATGGCTTTGATTGTTTGCTTCATCTCAGAAACTCTGAGTGGTGACCTTGAACCCTGGGCATTTGCCTGTTCTTGTCCATGGGGTGCCATTTTCAATGAGAGAATTCATCAACATGGAAACCCAGTAACTCAGAAGCACCAACTTCTGAGTGGAAGCTTAAGCTACCTGTTTTGAAAGCAGGTGCAGGGAAGTAATGACCCTAAAACACATAATAGAACAAAGGTCTTTCTTTGTCCTAATTAATGCTCATTCTAGTTCTGGAGACCAAAGTGTTTGGGTTAACTAAGGCCCCTACTTGCCATATTTATTTACCCTGACACTCTACCTTCTGGCCTTTGAATAGTATTCAGGTTTCTTCCAGTGAGCTGAATGCCCCAGAGGTAACCTGTTACCTCTCTCCAGTCCATTTGGCTCTTGCTCCGATGCGTTCTCCAGGGGAACTCTAGCTGGTCTCGCTTGGCAAAGAGCTTGAAAACATTTTCTCTCCATTCTACAAATTGCTTGTCCCAGGAGAGCAGAAAAATTGAATGGCACTCAGAACAGCTCATGTTTATGTTTTTCTGGACATCTTTAAAAGATAACTGGTGCTTGGGAAAGAATTAATCTCTTGGTTTGTAAAGATGAATGCTTGTTGGCTTTATCAGAAAGTGATTTCTGCTTCGTTTTTTATAATCCCAGGGAAGAAAGAGCTGGCCTCTAAGACTACGCTACTGGTCAATGAGATGCTGTGACTACGGTCACACCAAAAGAATGTAATATGGCAGGAAACCCAAAGGTTTAATGACTTGACTCCCTAATTCCTGGGGAAGCAATTCTCAAACATCGCCAGCCTTCACCTCCAGGAATGGAGAAGTGGAGGCTACAGACTACCTGCCTCTCAGGGAAGAGGGCAGCTTGCTAATGTTTTAACTAATTAGTGTCAGTTACAAATCATCTCTTTCAGGAGAGGATTCCTCTTGAGAAGAATACTTGGCTCATAAAAACATCCGCAGTTGGGTGGCCTGTGAGATCCTTTAGAAAGCCTCGTTAACTCAGACTTGATTCATTAAACATGGGGTATAGGTGTGAAAACGGAACATGCCAGGGACTCCTTTGTCAGGAATCAGAGAACTAATGGCACTGACAGGGATGGGGGAGGGATTTTTTGATGGTGCGGATATGCACGTGTTCAAAAATGTAATCCTCCCAGCAACCCCAGGAGGTTACAGTTCGCTTCTCTAAGCCTCGACTTGCACGTCTGTAAAATTGGACTAAGTCACTCCCAAGAGCCTATAGCTGGTTAGTGACCAGACAAGCTCCATGTCTTGTGTAATTGTGTCTGTGACTCTCTCCACTCCTCATGGCTTTTCTTTAATCCCATAAGTGCTTGCTCCAGATAAAACTACAAACCCCTTGCCCCAAATCTGTTTAGGGGGCCCTCTCTTTTCCCTGACCCCCCTCCCCCAAGCTAGGAGCCTTATCATTTGCCCCACAGTCTTTCTTTCAAGTATGTTCATAATTCTTAATAAGGTATCAACCTTCCACAGACATTTTCATTTCAGTTAGAAGTATCACAGGCTGAACAAGTTCATGCTCCAATGCCACCAGATCAGACAACTAAAGAAGAAAAAAAAGATATTGGCAAACATGCAAAAAATATACTCAAGGTGAGAGAGAGCGTGGTTAGCTTTCTCTAGAGTGAGGACAACAGTAAATTGTTACCAAGTTCCCTACAAAATAATAATAATATAGAAATATAAAATAAGTTGATAAAGGAATAGATTGGTAGACTGTAAATTGTCTGCTTGCGCACAAAAAGCTATGATTGCTCCTTCAAGGGAAGTGGCTTGGCTGGTAGGGATGAAACCCCTGGTGGTAAAGTTTCACAGGTCAGAAATTCTCTCTTCCTCCTTCCTGGGTTTGTGGTCTTGGGCCAGTGATTTAATTTTGCCAAACCTCAGTTTCCTCATTTGCCGAATAGGTGCAGTGACACCTTGATTTTAGGTGGTGAGAAATGAATGTGTGGACCTCTCCCCATATTGCTTGAAACACAATGAATGGCGGCCAGCATTCTTGTTGGAGTAAGCATGGAAAGAAACACTTTCGGACTTAGAAGAAATAAAACCACATTTCTCTAAACATACTCTTTGACTTAGATGGTTTTCTTCTTGTGGCAGCTCTCTCCCTCTCTCTCTCAACATATTTCCAAAATTCCTTCCAAGGCAAAAACAAAGCACATTTACAAATACTAGTTTATAACTTGGCAAAACTCTAATGAGCTTTCTGAGAAGCTCTACGTTTCTTCTCCATTTTCGAGGAAGTAGATATGAAACAAAGAAAGCAAAATAGATTCTCAAAGACATAATCTAGGTGTCTCTCAACTCTTAGTTTTTAATCTTTTACTTAGGAGGTGGTAAATCTTGTGTCTACTAGCCCAAAAATGTTAGCTGAGCAACAAAGTTGGCCTTGGGATTTTTCATCAGAGTGAGGGCCGCGAGATCCACAGGACAGATTTCAGAAAATGCAGTTAGTCTGAAGCAAAATACAGCATCAGTTGATTCTCATGCTCCTCTTTTAGCAAAACTCTGCAGAAATGCAAAGGGTTTTCCTCAGGGTGTGGTACACATGAGGGCCTAGATTTAAGTTCTGAATCCCATAACCAGCTCTTCAATTTTTTTTTTGTTTTTTTCTAATGTCTTTCAGGTACTCTCCCCTGGGTATCGCCTGCCTTATCTGTGGGAAGATCATTGCAATCAAGGACTTAGAAGTGGTTGCTAGGCAACTGGGGATGTACATGATCACGGTGATTGTTGGCCTCATCATCCATGGGGGCATCTTTCTCCCCTTGATTTACTTTCTAGTGACCAGGAAAAACCCTTTCTCCTTTTTTGCTGGCATTTTCCAAGCTTGGATCACTGCCCTGGGTACCGCTTCCAGGTAGAGAACACCAGAAATCACCGTCGTTTCTCTCTGCTCACCCTTTAACCTCTTTGTCACTTCCTCTCTTTCAAAACCTTCCCATCACAACATTCAGTGAGAACACTTTTCACATATTATTCAATATTTTTGGAAAAGGAGAACGCTTTATATTCTCAACTACTTTTATGAACTTTTGAGCTCTCTGATGAACTTTTTGCTGGTATGCAGCCATCCTGGAACTGTGACCATGTATTAAATTTCCCAGGTGAATGCACGCTATTCACTTGTATGCATAATTTGCCACATAGAGCATTAATTTGGTTTTAAATGTTTTCCAAAAGGGTGTAATGAGACGTTATTTTATTTAAGAAATTCTCTCACCTGTGCTTTCAAAAGTGCTATCACAATATATCAGTCTATTGGAGTAATTTTTTAAAAGTCATGAGAACAAGCTTTTGCAGGGTAAACGGTAGGTTAGATGAGATTTTTCAAACAAACAGGAAATCAGTCAAGTCTTTGTCCCTGTGATAGACCATTCTGTCCCACTGATTTTGAGGACAGTCAGGTTGGCATTGATTTGACTTGACATTGACTGGGCGTCAGTTCCTTCTTCACTACCTAGTTCTAGGGCCTCAAAAGCCAATGAGGACTCCAGAGATATGCAGAGAGAAAAAAAAAAGACATTTTGGTGAATATCATCTTGGACTGAATTTAGCAAAAACAAACAAACAAAAACAAATACATAAGAAATGCCCAGCAATTTAGAATTTCAAAAACTGAAAGAGTTTTGTTCTTTCAGTCTGCAACAGTTTCTTTTATTTTTGCACATGTAGCCTTGGGTCACAAAACTAAGACAGAGGCCGTAAAGCCGGTGGCAGGGAGGCAAACAAACTGCAACCCATAGCTCAGCGTTAATTCTGAGTCATGGGTTGGCAGGTCCTTGTCACCGAGTCTGTGACCAAGCACTGCGGAGGTGGCCGCGCTGTGACACAGGGAGACTGCTGTTCCAAGGGTACCAAGCAAGCTTTTCTTAAGTGACCTAACAGGCCAAAAGCAGTGACCAGCTGGGAAGCCAAATTATGTTTCTATCTTGGAACTCAGTGAGAATTCTGTCCTAGTAGAATGCGAGGTCTCAGAAAAAGCTAAAATACATGTAATCGGAAATATGTGGATTCTGCATTGTTTCCCAAAATGAAGGGAAACACTGTAAAACTTCATTTTCCCTTCTTAGTCCTGTACATTTCTTATGGCTAAGTATCTCTATCTGTAAAAATCCTCTTTTTTTGAGAAAAAGTTAACTTTTATTTCAAAAATAAAACCAATTATGTTTAGTTTTATTTTTGTTTTCTGTTAATGAGCATGATATTTGCTCATTATGAAAAAGTTCAGACAGTGAATAAAATTTTGGAGGGAAAAATGGACATCCCCACTGATAACTAGTGGTAACCTTTCAGTTAGTCTTACAGTTATGTCCATTTTCAGCTCTTACTATGTATAGATACTGTAAATTGCTATTTTTCACTGGTCAACATATCGTAAAACTTTTATCTATTAATATAGATCTTTATTACTATTTTTAAACTGCATAATATACACTGTATGTACTACAATCGAATGCCCACCCCAAATGCACATTTAAGGCACCTGTATTAAACAGGGCTGTGATAAGCATCCTTGTAAATACGTCTCTGCAAGGATGTCTGATGATCCCCTCAGGATAAATTTCTAGAAGTGGAATTTCTGAGTCCGATGGTAATAAGCACACTGATAGTTTTGAAACATATCACCAGATGACTATTTAGAAAAATCTATTGGTTTATGTCCCCACTAACTGGATATACCAGTGTGTCTTTCCTCACCTACTCACCAGTACTGGACACTGTCAGTCACTTTAATACTTTCCAATCTTATTGGTGAAAAGTGATCTCACTGACTTGGCGTTTCTTTGATTACTAGAGAGGAGAAACATCTTTCTGTGTTCTGATTGGTCCTGCTTCCTTCCCTTCCCCTGCCCCATGAATTGTTTGTGAGGTTAATTTCCTGTTGAGGTAATTTTCCTGATTGACTTTCAACTGTCTACATGTATAAAAATGTTAACTCATGTGTCACATGTTGCAAATAAATCCCCCCCACTTGACATTTGTTTTAAAAATTTACAGCATTTTTTGCCACTAACAGGTTTTAATTTGTGTGTCGTCAAAGTCATCAACCTTTTCCTGTAGTATTTAGAATTTTGATTTTGCTTAAGGATATCTTCTCTACCAAAGATTATAAAATGTTACTTTATCTTTTCTTCCAATACCCTTATGGTTTTGGTCTTTACATTATTTCAAAAATAGTATCAGTATCTTCTCTTTTGAGTGACTAGACAATTATCTTAGTCCCTTTATAAGACAAAGGTAAATCTTAAAGGCACAGGGAAAACCCAAATTTATATTTAAATCAAAGACAAATGCTCGGGTTATCTGACAAAAACCACAAAGATTAGACCCATTTCTTCCCCTTACCGTATATATCATTTGAAAAAAAATATATATGGTTTTACTCTTTGGTTAAACTGTGGCTTTCTCCTGGATATGGAATTTCTTTTTTTATAAAAGTCATTGTGGCATGAGCCACGTACTAAGAATTAACCCAAGAGTTCTTTTGCTATTATGACCGCAGGGGAAAAGCCCCCAGTTAGCCAACTAAATATGCTTTCCACCCCCTGCCCCTAACCTGGGACTGGATAGGAATGTGGAGGGGAAGTTTTAACCCCCTTTTCTCAATAGGCACAGAGGTTGGCGTCCAGGCAGCCGATGGAGGGGGGATGGGACACACCTCTCCACACCCCTCTAACTTCAGTACGTGCTGTTAAAACTAATCTGTATAAAAAAAGAAGAATCTCAAGTACCAGATAGTTATTATTAGCAACATTTGAAGACTGTCATATGACCATTAAGGCAGGAGCCAAAAAAAAAAAGAAACAAAAAGCCTGCCAATGTCAGAATGTCAGAACACAGCAGAGAGTTAAAATTCTCAAGTCCCAAATTGGGCTGACTGGGTACACATGACTTCTTAAGACACAAAGCCTGTCCAGTAGTGACATTGTTTCCCCCAATCTGTTGAACTGTCTAAAGACCCTTTATGACCTTGTAGGAAAATGAATGCAGTAATAATAATGGACGTATTCTCGTCCTCCCAGCAATGTCCTTAAATTCATCCCGTTTGAGAATCCAGCCACCAACCACAGCTGAGCAGCCATTTCAGACCAGTCGTGGTGTCCTGGTCACCCTCAAACGGGTCTTGGAAAAGGGCTGCGGGTGTAGGTGAGAGGAATAAAGGGACACTGACTTCTCATTAAAACAGCTGGGGCAGCGAGCCAGGTACAATGGCACCCCTGTGTGTGAATGAGGCAGACGCCAACTTTTCTCCCCAGGTTCCCAACGTTTTAGTGATGAGAGGTCTCCAAGCATCCATTTCTTCTCCCCACCTAAGACCAAAAAGGAGGCATGAGGCCCTGAAATCACAAAGAATTTTCCAGTAAGATGACTAACTTCCTTAGGGTTGTTAAGAGGGCTTGCGGGTCTGTGGGTTGATAAGATGCAGATTCAAGAGACCCTAATTTTAGAATTTAAGCTTCCTTAGTTCTGAAGTGGCCCTGGAATCTGCATTTTATTCAATATGCCTGAAGCTGACAATCCTGTCCTACTCTCTGAGAAACCAAGACCTCTGAGGGTGATTTTGTCCAGTTTGGCTGGAGCTCTAATTCTGACAAAGTGGAAATAGGGAACTACGATTAAAGCTATAAATTCAAGAGAGAAAAATGTGCTGTCTGCCTTGGGGGTTTCCCAAGTCATTTTGCCAAGTTTTGAATAAAAGAAAAGAGAGTGAACATACCAGGCACTCCCGTGGTAGTCTAAATGTTCTGCATCGCTTTCCATGTTACTTCAGCTCTGAAGCAACTCCTCCTACCTTCCCATGGCCTCTATCCACATGGAAACAATATTCTGGCTTTCAGCAACACTTACCCTTATAGGTTTCTTATTTTAGAAGACACAGAACATGTCAGGAGTTCTGGCCTTTGAGATTGAGTCATATGAGCATGATTTCCCATCCCACGCCTGGGAGGAGTGGAGGTGAAGTCACGCCGAACTGGGTCTTTGATTAGCTACAGACGCGTGCTTTTCTGCCCTATGTTGTTGGAGAGATTGTCGAGCTGGCCAGTGACCATTTATCAGGGAGCTGGACTTTGAGGGTCCCCAGTGAATTGCTAGAAGCTTGGATTCTTGCTGAATGGTGCTTAACGTGTTTGTCCAGCATCCTCAAAATTAGCAGGCCCAATTAGCTGAGGGCAATTCCCAGGGGCGGGATCAACCCATGTAGTCATCTTGTTGGAAATAGCATTTCTAACATGAAATTATGGGTCATTCAAAAGTTCCTCATTCTGTCTTACTGTTGATAGTTGATCCTTTTCTGATCCTTTTTTCTTTTTTGCAGCCCAATTAATGTGAGCAATCAGATGGGCTTCAATATTTAATCCAAGATGGAAACAGTGACCAAAGGGAAAAGAGAACTTGAAGCTCTGAGTAGATTTCAAAAGCCAGAACCAACAAAAATATTTTGCTGCCTATTAACATCTTAATAAGGTCAAATTTGAGCCTCCAAATCGATGGGTTTTAACTTGGCTCCAGACACTGCTTTCTGCAAGTCATATTGTTTGATTGGAACAAAGGGACAAAAACTTTGTGGTGCCATTTCAGTTTGTGCTTTGTCCTGCTTCTCGAAAGTGGACATAACACTTGTCTCTCTCTCTTTGTCCCTCAGTGCTGGAACATTGCCTGTCACCTTCCGTTGCCTGGAAGAAAATCTAGGGATTGATAAGCGTGTGACCAGATTTGTCCTCCCGGTCGGAGCAACCATTAACATGGACGGCACGGCCCTTTATGAAGCGGTGGCCGCCATCTTTATAGCCCAAATGAATGGCGTCATCCTAGACGGAGGCCAGATTGTGACCGTAAGGTGAGCGAAGTGGGTGGGGTGAAGCACTGAAGCAACCTTTTACCCTATCCCCTTCCACACTAACTCCATTTCACAGAGGCCACTTGAATTTCAGTTTTCCGGGTGGAAGAATGGTGAAGGAAATAAAAGAGAAAAGGCATTCTTGGCAGGCTCAAAGGGAAGATTGAGACAGGAAGGAAGCAGGCTCACACTAATGCCTTCTGTATGTATTGCCCATGTGAAATTGCTTCAGAAGTTTGATGTTATTTTATTTTTAACCATCCTGTGATGTTGCAAGGCAGTTATTTGCACGTTCTTTTGATACATGAGGAAGCACAGGCTTCAAGGGACATGGTAGTTTGCCCGAGGCTATAATGCCGTCAGGAGTGAGCCGACAGGGCTCACTGGGGCCAACGTCAGCTGACTCTGAATCTGTTTTGATTTGTTTCATTAAAATATACTCCCTTCAGAACCCTCCCACACTGTTGTGGGAATGTGAACTGGTGCAGCCACTATGGAGAACACTGTGGAAAATCCTTAAAAAACTACAAGTAGAGTTACTGTATGATCCAGCAATCCCACTCCTGGCATATATCTGGAAAAGACAAAAATTCTAATTTGAAAGGATACACGCAACTCCAATGTTCATAGCAGCATTATTTACAATAGGCAAGACATGGAAGCAACCTAAATATCCGTCAATAGATGACTGGATAAAGAAGATGTGGGGTGTAAATATAGAAAAGAATATAATTGGGGTGGAGGAACACAAGGGGAACCAACTTCCAGGAAGAATTCTCTTTATAGGGGTAGCAAGGCAACATGGCCACTGTACAAAGGGATGTGTAAGAGTGACTCATGTAACAGGCAACTGATGTTGTAAATTAAATAGATGAGGCCAAGATCATTGGAACTTGGGAAGTTCCCCTTCCCTGGTGTTCTATCCATCTTGGGGAAATGACTGAGAATTCCCATTTGCCAACTCTAGGGACTTTAGGGACATTTTCATTGCAAAGCACCCTCACCCTACCCAGATTTCCAGATAAAAATGACATTTCACATTTTCAGGAGGTGAGGGTTGCGATGTGCTAGCCTCTTCTAAGTGCTTTCTGAACCCTTGTTATCTCCGTTTTTACAGATAAGGAAATCAAGGCACAGAGGTGAAGTCAGTTGCCCAAAGTCATGTGGTTAGTAGGTGGTAGAGTGAGATTTGAACCTAGGTTGTTCAGCTCCAGAGCCTTCACTGATAATCACCACATACTACTACCTCCCGTGACCTAGATGGACTCAAGGAAAGTGGAGTTCTTTAAACCCTGACACCGGCTCCACATTGATGGGGCAGAGGAAGAGCAAAGATGGGTTTTGTAGATTCCACTTAGAGGAGATGTCTATTCTGTGGGAAGGATGACAATATGGAAAAACCAGTGGGAACCACAAAACCTCCTGGGACCTTCCTTTCCTCATATGTAAGATTAGGTAAATTCAGGTCCCTCCCAACTGTAAGGCCAGGATTCTGTGCTTTGGGCACACCAATGGTCTGGACTTGGTCAAACCAGTTTGGGAGCCTGATTCTTGGTTTAGAGCCCAAAGACCTACTCTAAACACTCTGGAATTAGATAACCACAAAGAAAGCAGCCCCTTTTTCTTTTCAGCAGCCAGAAAAGCAAGTTAGGAATCTATATTTTCAGAAGCATCCTTCCATTCAGAAATGATAGTTTTTATAAATAGCACCCAGAAAAGAGGAGGAAAAGTCACTGTCATTTGCTGGATCACAGAGGCCCCCTGGTGTCTAGACGGGGCGCTTGAACCCAAGGTTAAACCCTCTTCCAGAGACAACTTCAAAATTGTGCTGGGTGTGCCCTTGGCATTGCTTGGAAAGCAAGGGATGAGATGCTTCAGAGGGAAAGCCTCCTGTTACTTAATTATCATTTCTTGGCACCCTCTCTCTGAATAATGCGTTCTCCAGCCCACGGTGCAACGTCCAGGCATCTGAAGCTTACTGTCATTTGGAATTCTGTTGATCTGTTCGCCCGATGTCCACTCAGTTGCGCCTGGATATTTGCTGTTTTGAGTTCTCATGTTAACATTGGCAGTGGCCTCTGCAGACTCCTGCCACGTAGTCTAGAAGTCTCTGGTTCCCACAGAGACATAAAGGCGTAAGCAGAAATGAATGCAGGGGTATTCCTGTGGGACTACGAGTGATTTGTTTTTCTTCTTTAATATTTCCTTGTCTGCTTTTGGAGCCACGCTTACCTAATTTGAGCCCAGTGATCTGTTAGGCGAATTAGATGTCATGGTGGGGGAAAGACTCTAATCCATGAATTTATAAGCTTCCATCACAGTTGAACAGAATCCAAATGGACCCGATTTCCTGGGCCTTAGTACTCCAGATTTCTCTGTTCCTTGGGAGGTCGAGAGAGATTTTATGACTGCCGGGAACAGGAGAGCTTGAAACTGCCTGCCAGGGGTGGTTTTGCCAAGGTCGCTTTCTCTTCCCTTGACCGGCCTTTTCTGCTCCCACAGCCTCACAGCCACGCTGGCCAGCGTTGGCGCAGCCAGTATCCCCAGTGCCGGGCTGGTCACCATGCTCCTTATTCTGACTGCTGTGGGCCTGCCGACGGAGGACATCAGCCTGCTGGTGGCTGTGGACTGGCTGCTGTAAGTGTCTGTGTTGGGGGGTTCTGCTGGGGATGTGAGTGCTGCCTCCCAGGGGTGGGCAAGATGCAGAGCTGCAGCCAAGACCTTAGCCAGTCCCCATGGCGCCTCCCTCCTTTCTTCCCTCCTTTCTTCCCGCTAACATTTACTCAGTGCCTATTTGGGAACCAGAGAAGAAAAAGAACCTCTAAGGGCCTCGGGATCTGGTGGAGGAATCAGATAAGTCAGAATACAAAGTTGAAAGCAGAGTAATACGGAACCAACTAGTGATGCGTGCAGAGCATCTCAAAGCACAAAGGAATATGGACTGTGTGATTCCATTGATACGAAACTCTAGGAAAGACAATATAATTTCTAGCAATAGAATGAGATCATGGTTGCCTGAGCTCAGGGGTGGGGGCACAAGGAAAGCTTTAGGAGTAATAGAGATGTTCCATGTACACAGGTATGCACAGGTGTCCACATTTGTCAGAACTCAACATAGCATGCACTTGAAATGGGTACGTTTTATTGCCTGTAAATTACATTTCCATAAAGTAGATTAAAAAATAGTGCATACATGGAAGGATAGTGATAGAGACAGACACCCATCCCCATCCAGGATGGAGGGGCTGAGTGGAGAAATCAGGAAACAAGGAAAACGGCTCCTGAATTCGAGGGCTTACTGTGTGCTGGCTGCTACGCTGCGCCTTCACAGCTTCCTTGAACAGCCCTGAAAGCTTGGTGTTATCACTTCCATTATGAGAAAACTGAGGTTTAGGGAGAATGAATAGAGATTTGACCCTCGGTCTACTTGGTTTGGGAGGTCACCACGTTCACAGTCATGGTCATATTCAAGCTTCTAAAGGCAGTGATAGCTGAGCTGGGTGCCACCTGGAGGGAGAAGTTCCCCGGGTGCATGCAGGTGGAGGGGGAACAGGTCGCTCCAGTCAACTCCAGCCTGCACGGGGCATTGCGGCAGCACACAGCTGGGGACCTAGGAGTGGTGTGGTGTTGGAGCACACAGAGTGAGGCAAGGAGCGGTGCGAGGTGAGGCAAGATGGACAGCCTTGAGGCCATGCAGAGATGCTTGAACTCAACCGTGTACACACAGCCTGGCTCCCTTTCCCAGTGAAGGACATTACCGTAGTGTAGGACTCTCTGCCCATTCACAGTGGCAGGCCCGTTAGCCAGATGGCCCCCAGTAGGGAGGTTGCTAAGGGCTCATTCGGGCTCTGGTGTTCTGCGGGATGTATGCTGATACTTCCCGCCCAGTCCTGGAAATAAATGACAGGCTCTGGGGGATGCCGTTGGCTTCAGTGTCAGAGGTGCGGAGTGACAAATGCTGGTGCAGAGATCCAAGGCCAAGGTGCTCACACATATTTTATAAATCACCCTAGCTGCCAGTAGCAATTTTTCTGACATTGATTGGCATGGATTTTAAGAACCGGAAGCCACATTTTATGGCCTTGAGTTTCCCCTATGCTGAAACAAGTTCCATCCCTCTATAGCCACCCTTCTGAAGAGAGAAACTTGCGAGTGGCTGAAGGGAAGAAGGACACTGGGAAGGCCAGAGGGAAGTCTGGTCTTTCCGGAGAACCTGCCGTTGAGGTTTAGGTTAGAAACGGAAAGCGGCTCTTGGACAGAATCTGTTCAACCCAGGAGGGCTGCTGGGAGGGACGCGGATCTTCCTGACTGGTTCTCCCAACACCAGAGAAACGCTCTGGGAATGCCTTTTGTGGGAAGGTGAAAAGCAAGTGAAATGAGCCCATCTGTCTCCGCCCACCTCCCAGGTGGCAGTGGCGGCGTCCTCCGCGCTAGCGCAGTTATTCTCTGTGCCCTGCTCTGGCCCAGAGGGACAGCCTTTCTCATGATGTCTATCCAGACAAGGCAGTCCTGGGGCAGCTGAGATTCAGTGGTGGTATGGGTGGAAGGATTTGGAGGGATAGGATGAAGGAGACAAAGGAGTGGGGTAGGATTTGGTTGGGAGGAGGACAAAACGGAATTGAAGACACTGGCAGCTGCTTGGGGACAGAGCACACAGTAGGAGCTGAATAAATGCATGCTGAAGTTACCCACAGTTGCTGTGTGATAATCCATGGCCTTTCCACACATGAAGACAGAGGAAGCTATTAAAATCCCAGCTGCTTCCCCTGTGACTTCAGCGTACTGAGCCTTCTGCCTCTTTGCCCCTCGTCACCGAGCATCCCTTGCCTGCTCTAACCACATTGCCTGGTCTCTTCTTGGGCTTGTTCCTGGGGCCTGACGTCCACCATCGGAGATTCATCTTTTTAAAAAGTATTGTTGTAGAAAGACAAATGCACTTTGTCTTTAGAAACAGAAATAGACTCACTCACACAGAAAACAAACTTTTAGTTACCAAGGTGGGAAGGAGATGGGAAGGGATAAATTGGGAGTTCGAGATTTGCAGGTGCTAACTACTATATATAAAAAGATAAATAAGTTTATACTGTGTAGCAAAGGGAACTATATTCAATATCTTCTAGTAACCTATAATGAAAAAGAATATGAAAACAAATATATGTATGTATTTGTATCCTGTGCACTAGAAATTGACACAACATTGTGAACTGACTATACTTCAATAAAAAAATAATAAATAATAAAAATAATTATTACAGAAGCTACCCCATTATAATGCAAATGCATTTAAGTGAAAAGAAAATGCACTTGTAGTATCAGGAATAAAGAGACAGAACTAATATTTGGTGAGTATCACCATGTTTTTTACATCTGTTTATGGTTAATACTTAAAGATCGCTATGATGTATTTCACAGATGAGGAAACCAGGACTTGAATGGCACAGGTGAGCTCATGTGGCCAGATCAGGGCCCTTCACGCTACACAAGCAAATCTAGCAGCAGGAAGGAGCAGAGGGGTCCAGAGACAGAGAGGTTGGCGAAAACAGACCACTCAGGGTCACCCCTGGTTATACATACTAACCGGATCATTTTTTGTTTGACCTGTTTGGTTTTTATTCCCCCCTCTCTCAGGATGAAAACAAAACAGAACAAAAAAGCTAAGTGGGGACAATCGGGGTACAATCAAAGTCTCAGCCACTCTTAGAATTCAAATCCTCCAGCCCCAGGAGGTCAGCCGTTGTGGGCCCTGGTCTTCCTGGCAGTCATCTGCTTCCAAGCCTGTTGGAGGAGAGTCTGTTCATGAAACATTCAAGACTCTGCCTCCTTCTGACCTAGATTTTAGCAAATGGGCGCTCACATGCTCACACTTGCACCGAGAGCAGGGCGTCCTGACTCCAGGGCTGAAGTGTGCTAGCAGAAGGAAGTTGACCGAACAAAGGAAAATGACGCTACATTGGGATTAACTCTGTTGATGAAACTGTATATGAAAAAACTCCATCCCAGGCTGCCGCTGGAAAGGGAAGAGTGAGGAAGAGCTTGTGTCTAGTTCTGGGGTCTGATCTCAGATGCACAGAGGCCCTGTCCTCAGGAGAAGGAGGGTGGAGGTGGGAGCCCTGAGTCTGAGTGCTGCACTTACTCGCTGGGGCTGCCGGCAACTTACTTACGCTCTGGATTCAGCTTCACAGTGTGTACAGTGGGACTGGTAACTTACCAGCTTGAAGGCAGGGTCAAGACCCATGCCCTTGAATGCCCTTCTAGTTTTAAGACCCAGGCTAGGATTCTGCTAGTGATGGATGTCTGTATACAAGTAAGCATGAACGTTCCTTTTAAGAAGAAAACTAAAAGGGAGGGTAGAGGATCCTGGGAGACCATGCGAGGGGTCTGTAGCCAGGTCAAATCTGCTTTGAATTAGTAATGGTTCCACATTCTTTCTCACCAGCAAGAGGAGTTCTGGAAACAGGCTCTTGGTCATGGGCACCGTGGCTAATGGTTGCCCATTAGCACGTGCGTGGGGCCGGGGGATAAGATGAGAGAGGGAGGCAGGAGAGGCTGGGCATTTTCTGGTGAAGTAGTTTGTGGGGGAAAAGCAGAAAGAAAAAAAAAAGCAAAGGGGGGCATTTCTTTTCCTCTCCAGGCAAGGTTTGTAAGGTTTCATAACTCTAGCAACTCTTCCATTTAAAACCAAACAGAGCCTGCAATGACATTTAATGTGCTACGGTCTTTGCCAACTGCTGGAGATCAGCCAGCCTCATTACTGCCCGCCAGGCTCTGGACATTATTCAGTGGGCAGACTTAGCTGTAAATGTCATGGTGAAAACCAAGATTCTGAGCCTTGAAAAGTGTCCAAATCCCAGAACACCAGATGGGTGTGGCTGGTAAAACCAGAACCTTCCTCAGGGTCCAAAAAGCCCTTTGTGTCAGGCTTTCTTAGCAGATATGTATGGGATCTCGCTGAAACCCCTCTCTCTCAAGAAGTCATGATCGAAGGAAAACTGGGAGTCAATAGCAGGGAGAGGTGATAAATAACTGGGTCTGGCCACAGGTGGGAAAAGGAAAGCCAAGTGGATCTGTAGCCCACTTACCACACAGGACTGCTGGTGAGAGCATCTCTAGGGACATATTTGCTAACTGGGGGGTGCAGTTGACATGGAACTTATAAGGAAGCCGAAGAGAGCCGCCACCCTCCAGGGGGGACTCTGAAGCTCCCCTATGAGCTTTCCTGGAAGGAACAGAGCATTGGTTCTCAAACTTGAGTGTGCACCAAAATCTCCTGGAGATTCAGGAGGTCTGGGGAGGGGCCCAAGAACTGGCTTTTCTAACAGTTCCCAGGCGAGGCTGATGACTGGTCTAGGGACCTCACTTCCAGAAGCATGGGCCCGAGGTAGGGAAGGGGGAACAGGAGTTCCTGGTTGGATATATGAGCATCTCTACTCCTTTTTGAGCACCGGTTGACATCTTGTGCCTCCATTCAATGAAACTTGATCAAAAGGACACAAGACTCCCATGACTAATACTCAGTGAGTGTCCCTTAACTGTCAGACATTGTTCTAAGCACTTTCCATGGACTCGTTTTAAAAGTTGCAGCAAATTACGAGGCAACTAGTAGTAGTATCCATGTTTTACGGTTGAGAAAACTGAGG